AGCTTTAAGCGGTATATATACAGTTTGTTTTGTAAAATGAAATCTAAAGGAAAGGTGTATTTTCAAAGTCTGAAGCATTGTAGTACAAGAAATGTACATTTAGAGAACATATTAATGCATTGTGTTCCAATCAATTTATCCCCTGAATTTTCTTTACTTGATCTTAAATTTATCATAAAACCGGCAGAATCATATTATCATATTAAAAGTATGTTGTATTTTTCCTCCTTTTTCCGCACTTGAATCTAACCCAATGCTGCCCCTTTATTCTGCTCATCCAGTTTGTGGACCATTGCTCCAAATACTCTCAAGACCATCCCGAGGTCGTGACCTACCTCCAGACCAGATACTCTAAGGCCCTGCCGACCTTCCTGACGTCGGTGGAGTTTCGTAACACTCTGGGCCGCTGCCTCACACGAGCCCAGGCCAACACTGGCAAAACCTTCGTCTACATTAATGAACTCTGCACCGTTCTTAAACAGCACACAGCTCGGAAAAGGAGCTCCCTACAGTCTGTCCCCTCCCAGACAAAACCTGAGCAAAAGAGCAACGGGACAAATTTAAAGGAGGAGGAGCAAGTTAAAGAAGAAGAGGAAAAGCAAGAGGCTGGTGAGGAAACTAAGAAAACGAAAAGGGCTTCAAGGAGACAGGTATTCGAGCAATCCACTGAATTTATATGTTGAGAAGGTTGATTTGACAGTGGATTCAACGCTATTGGATTTCAAAAGCTTTGGTTCCAGTAATTTTCCATAGGGATGGAAATTACTTGTAGTTTATCCATAGGGATTTTTTAAAAAATCAGTAAAGAGTTTGGATGCTGTGTTTCATTTAAAGTGGGGTGTGGGATATTCCTATTTGAAAGCGATGACTTCTGGCCATAAAAGTGTTTTATTGTACAAACTGCCAGTATACATTGTATATACATTTAAAAATAAACAAGTAAACTACAGAAAATTAACTGGTAATGTTCTGCCAGGATATTATCCAGTAATTTAACAGACATTTCCATTAATCATAAAACACAATGCAAAGAAGTGCAAAATACAGGTTAAACACTTGCAAAAAATGAATATGTATTTTTTTTACAGTGTATAAGTAGGCTTCTGCAGAATATATCAAGACTTACAAATATCTGTTTGTGCTAGATCTGTACCAAAAGGTTTATTTGTTCATGTTAAAGATATTTTTAATGAATAAAATGTTTGGAATGTACTTCTTTAAAATGCTACAGTTGTGCTTTATACTTGTGGACACTGAAATGAGCTGAGAGATTTTGACTGACTATATATTCATGTGCATTGTAATTTGTGTGTGTCTCATGTTCTGTTTCAGATCGCATACCTGGAAAACCTGTTGAAGGTGTATAATGAGGAGATCCGGCGGCTGCAGGAGCGGGAGCTGAGTATAGACGATCTGGAGAAGGAGGACTCCAGTTATATTCAGGAGCACAAGCTCAAACGCAAGGTAAGTCTCTTCATTCCTGCGGTATCATTCCTGATTTGGTTCAGTTAATTAAATAGTTCTATATGGACAAAGTTCTGGAAGTTACGGTGTGTTGTCATAGTAAATCAAACCATTTTGATACAATCAACTGACTTTGAAGTAATGAGATTTTATCAGGTGTTATAAGTTCTCGTTCTCGGTAAGTTCTCAATAAGTTCTCGGATCTTTAATGTTCTTTGTGTGGTCTCAGATGATGAAGATCTATGACAAACTGTGTGAGCTGAAGGGCTGCAACACACTGACGGGTCGAGTGATCGAGCAGAAGATTCCCTACAGTGGAACACGCTACCCAGAGATCAACAAAAAGGTGCTTCTTTTGCTTGTGAAGTCATGTTCCTCAAGATTAGTTCTCTAGATTCTCATTACTCAGAATAATGCTTCCTAATTTCCCCACTCCTCTGTCCTCAAGCCTATGATATGAAGCTTTGAAGCTATTAAAGCTTTGATCAGAAATAGATTGTAAACTTAAAATTAAATCGCATCAGAAATAACCAGGGCTTATTTAAGATGTCTGCGTTTCACAGACAAGGCTTAAGCCAGTCCCAGACTAAAATGCAGGTTTGAGCTGTCTCAACTGAAAATATCTTGCTCTGACACATCTTAAAATTCATCAGTGCCATTGTTCTTTGTCAAGATTCACACCTGTAGCATTTTCTTCTAAGGCATTTTTGTAAAAGCTGCTTAAATGTCTTAATTTAACTAAGGCCTAGTCCTGGCTTAAGCTAAGCCCCATCTGTGAAACCGGGCCCTGATGTTTATCTTAAATGTATTTAATTAAAAGAAATGGTTAAATGAAAAATACACCCTAATAAAGGTAAACATTGCTCATGGAATGAAATCCAGGAGGGCGAATATTAAAGGGATAGTTCACCCAAAAATGGAAAAGATATGCATGTAATTTCTCCTGGCGCAACATGAGGGAGAGTAAATGACAAAATATTCATTTTTGGGTGAAGTATCCCTTTAAGAAAATAATGAATAATGTATCATTTTTCTTTGCTTTCCTTTTCGTCTTTACTGTCTTCTTTTCTCTTTGGTTTGTAGATTGAACGCTACATTAACAGTCCAGAAGCTCTTCACAATCCGCCGGACTACACGGATATCCTGAAGGTGGTTCAGCGCGCCAACGAACGCTACAAACTCATGCTCACCCGCAATAAGATGACACAAATCGCTCAAGAAGCCTTCAGAGAAACGGGCAACAAACTGCAGGAGAGACGCCAGCTTGACATGGTCTACAACTTCGGCTCCCACCTCACCGATTCCTTCAAACCTAGTAATTCAGTTCAGTTACTCTCCAATTCAGCTAGAGAACATAATCAAGTCTTATTGTATTAGTCTTATGTTTTACACGTGCCAATAATTTCTGCACATTTCTGGATTGCTGTAAACATGGATGGGGTCCAGTAATATTTAATGATTGTAAGTTCAGCATTCAAGTTGAATGTCCTGTGTTTCCTTCAGCGTTAGATCCTGCACTCACTGATCCAGCACTAAATCGCAAACTCCGCTCAAACAGAGACGTGGCTCTCAGCAGCCTGGAGGAGGTGATCACCAAATACTCTAATAAACAGGAAGACATAGAGGTAGAGGAAATGAGGAAGAAACAAGAGAGAGACAGACAGAAAAAAGAGGTAAAAGAACCAAATATGTTCTTATATATATTGTTTGTTTTGTTCAATAATTCATTTCAGTATTCGGTTTTTCTCCAGTAGAATCTGAAATGTCTTCAGTTATAGAATCAATCTAAAATGTAAAATACTTACAAATTTATTTAAATTCATACATACAAAAAAATATTGAAAATAATGATGATTATATTTTATAGTAATCAAAGGATAATTACAAAAACCTTGTTTTTTGATGCAAAGATACTGATGAAAGATATCGTTTATATGTAAGATATAGTGCTGGGCAACGCTAAATCATCCAAAATAAAAGTTTTTATGCACATAATATATGTGTGTGTACGGAGTATATTTATGTATATATAAATACACATGCATGCATATATATTTATGAAAAATCTGTTATGTTTTCATATTAAATATATTTATATATAATATAAATTATATGAATATAAATATATACATGTAAATATTTTCAAAATAAATGCTGTATGTGTCTTTATATATACATAATAAATATACACAGTACACACACACATTATATAAACAAACACTTTTTTTGGATGCGATTAATCGTTGCCCAGCACTAGTAAGATATAAACAAAAATGAAAAATATTATTATATTCTTTATTTATATTATATTTTAATTAGTACATTAATGTTTTAAAATATTTAAAAATACAAATTTATAATACAAATAAAAAATTATAAAATGAACTTGTTTCTTGATGTAAATAATGCTGTTATTACATTACATAATGACTTTATTTAAAATATAAATATAACATTTATTCCTATTTCTGCATTGTCCAAAATGAAGCCAGAATCTCCTTGAAACCATGAGCAGTCTTGAATCGGTTTGTCCTTCCGTCACATTTACAGGCACTTAATGGGCAGCAGAGTGACAGCAAAGAAAAAGAGAGGGAGGTACTGGAAGAAAAAGAAGAAGAAGAGGAGGAGGAGGAAGATGAAGAAGAGGATGATTCCTCTGATCCTGACATTGAAGAGGAGATCCAAGCCAGTCAAGAGCAAGCTGGTCCAGGTAAGAAGAGCATAAATCATCTTCATCTCCTTCTTTCATGTTGCTTTGCCATTTCCTGGAGGGAAAACCCATTTCTCCTTTGCTGATGTGTTTCAGATGATGATGAAGAGGACGTTGAAGAGGAGCAGATGAACAACAGTGACAATGATCAGCCGATGGAAGAGAACTCTCCTCTGTCAATCAAGTCTTCCGTCCAGGACACAGAGGAGGATCAGGGCGATGAAGACCAGCGGTCTCCAGCCAGCAGCACACATGAGACGGGACCTGTGGAAACAAACACAAACGGCACACCTGCGAATCAAAGCCCTCCGTTCATAGAGGCTTTGGATCCTATGCCTACCGACGAGACGGAACCTATTTCCTGGAATCACATTAAAAGCACCATTAACTGCACTGAGACTGTCTCCACCAATCAGGACACACCGTCAACCCCTATGAGATCAGCCACCTGCAGTCCACTACCTCAAACAAGCCCTTTGCTGATCGACGAGATGGGCAACTACAAGAAGAGGAAACGATCCTCGACTGAAACCCAAACTGCTGCCTTCAATAGGAACTGCACACAGGACAGGTAAAGCTGAATGAATCGTGCAGACTTTCCATTAAAAGTTGTGTGATTTAATAACTTACTATTAAATTATAGGGATGTGATGATGCTCCCCGAGCCGGTTGAAAATCGATAAAAATATGTGACGATTCAAGTCAGTTGAGATTTGTGGTGGGGGTTTATATGAATGTATCTCTGAGGGGAAATGACTCTCTTTAGAAAAGTTGACATGGTATTTTCTTGTCATCTATTATGCATGTTAACGTAGTGTTTATAAGCAACCAAGGAAACACTATCGCTGCTGTTCGCTAAGCGCCACCTGCTGTCAGAGAGTAAATTTGCATTCTCATTCAGCCAGTGTAGACATAGTTTAACAAAAAATATCTTTTTCACCATTACTATTTTTTATCATGATAGTGAATATTAATCTATGAATATTTATCTATTTTCTATGATGTTAGAAAATTAACTTCAACGAATGATTTTTTTCATGAATCACCCATTGTTAAGATTTCGATCTCATGAGCATGTTAAGAATATCTATGGCTGCTGGTCTGTGGATGTCAAGATTTTCACTGAATACTGATTTGATCCTTTTGTGTTCTTCTGGAGGACAAGCTTGCTTCATGCAGTTGTGTTTTTCTCTGTCTGTTTTTCTCAGTGATATTCCTCTGGATATGGGTGTGATCTGTCCTGAGGAAGAAGATTTAACCAGGACGAGGAGTTCGACTCGGGTCACGGTCCGAAGCTCACGAGCCACGCCACCGCCTAAGAAAAATAAGGTGACTGTGTCCGTTTGCTTTTAGTTTGCATTGAAACACTGCAGTAAATGCATTTGCTTTTTCATGTTATTATTACACCATTCCTGTAGCAGAAAGGCTGATTTTATGCACTTAATGATTTTAGCATGACCATATTCCATTGCAACTTACTATGTCTCCGCAGGAAATTCACTGCTTTTTTATTTTCATTAATATAGTACTATATTATTTATTAATATTTTAGATTTTTTTTTTTCATTTGAGTAATTTTGTTGTTTTATTTATTTATTTTTAAATATGTATATTTTATTATTATTATTTTTTTTTTAACTTATATAAGTTTTGTACTTCTGCTTTACACAAAAATGAGAAATTCCAACTTACTGAAATTATGGAGGTAGATAAAACAAGAAAAAGACAGAAAAAAGTATGATCTTATCGTTTGTTTTGTCCAAAAACGTTTTTTTCTTTTCTTTTTTAAACTTGAGGAATATTGCTGTGATTCACGTTTAGGGATCACGTTTCATTGATTTGCATCAGCTTTATGAATTTTTATTTCAGCTTTATGAATCAGAAACACAACAAGGTTTGAAAATGTGTCAAGCCTTTGCATAAATATTAGATAATAAATTAAATAATTATTTTTAATATCGAAAATCATTAGAATTATATTTATTAATAATAAAAATATTTTAGCATGACTGTATTCCATTACAATGCTTTCAGCCATCTTAATAAAATTACCGCTGTGTTATTTTAGTATCATTAATACAGTATTTATATCTTTTTTATTTTAGTTTAAGTTTTAGTAATTTTGTTGGTTTGTGTTTTTATTTTTAAATGTCAGTTTCATTTTAATAGTTATTTTCAGCTTTAGTCATTTTAGTACTTCAACTTTTAAAAAAATGAGAAATGTTGGTAAATATTTACTCTATGTATTACAAAGTTTTTTATTTGGTGTCAATGAATGTGTTATTTTAGTAGTTTTAGTTACAGTAACACTGTGACTGAGCATTACATACAGCATCATAGGCCCATTAAAGAAAGCACTAACTCCTGTCTTTCCTGTGTTCACAGGTGAACGTGGCGACTCAGTGCGACCCAGAGGAAGTGATCGTTCTGTCTGATTCAGATTGAGTCACAGGGTATGAGCTGGCATCTCAGTCAGCGTCCTGCTCCGTTAGTGCCTGCCAGTGTGAACAGAGAACAAAAAACCTTTATTTTACTTTGGACTGGTTCAGTCAGGTTTTGAACCACTTGTACGCAATGCCACGGTTTACTTTTTATACAAGGGGAAATGGCATGCCGTTATTCATTCAGGCTTTTTAGAGGTATTTTGGTATATTGTGAATTGGACTTGCCTCTAAACATTCTTACTCCAAGGGTTTATCTTGTATTGTATTTATGGTTTTAGTTTGAGGGTTTGGAAGCAATCCTCATCTGTGCCAAGAGTCGTGAGGGGAAGTGAACTTTCTCTTCTCAACTCAATAAATGCTCCCATTTTGTGTAGTGTTTGACTTACATGTTGATAACTTTGTATAGTGCACTGTGGATTTTTTTCAGCAGAATTAGTTTTCCACGTAAGTTATGAGCTACTTTACATGCTCCAATTTACAAACATCGGAAGCTTTGTTTTCAGATTACATCTTAACGAAATAGTTCACCCAAAAATAAAAATTCTGACATTCATTTCACCTCCTTTTTTGTGTGTGCAATACAGAAAAAATATCAGGATATGGATTTAAAAGGACTTGAGAGTAAATATTGACAGTATTTTTATTTTTGGGTGAACTGTCCCTTTAACTGGCCTCAGGTGACGAAGCACAAGAGTTAAGTGTCCTCCTGCACTTGACGTTTAGTATTGAAATGATTTCTGTAAACTGCTGTTGATTGATCTATTAAATTGATCAGTATTGTCATATTAAAAATAGTTTTTAATTACTCTGCTTAACTAATTGAGGATTTAATTGGCATGACAAAAGGTGCAGCAAAAGAATGGTAACCATATTAAATCTGTTGTAAAAAATTATACTTTTATATTAATAACCAGGACACTATGGCGGATACATAATACCTTTTTCTATAATATATGTATATATATATAATTTTTTTTTTTTTAGGGACATATAGGGATATTTTGCACAAAAATGAAAATAATTTTTTCTTTCTTCTGCAGAACACAAAAGATAAGAGTTTTTGGACTCCAACGTTCAAAATATCTTCTTTTGTGTAAGTTTGGAACGGTGTGAGAGTTGGGAAATTATGGCAGAATTTAAATTTTTGAGTGAATTATCACTTGAAAACAATCGGGGTAAACGGAAATATCCAAAAAGGAAAAAAATGTGAAAACCGACTGACCTTCAAACAGTAATAAGACATGAATGAATCATAATTTGTGCACAACATACTTTATTTCCTTTCATTTGAAGATCTTGAATCTTGTGAAACCACTGACATATAATTCTGTCCACATCAGGAAAATGCTTCGTCTGCTACCGTCCGTCGCATATTTAGTTCAGATTCACCACAACAGTTGTAGACGGAACAAATATATATTTTATTTATCGATACAAAATACCGATCTCTAACCAGATTACTCTGAATCATGCTTTTACCTACTGGTGTTTTTTTTTAATTAGATTTCATTGTTCACACTTTAACTTTGCTCACTAATCTGAAATACACACAAGTCTGATATAAAAGTAATAAGAATGTGTGGATAAGCAACAGATATGTGATTCCTCCCAGCTCACAATCTTCAGATCCCGGTTTATTTATTGTAATATATTGAACAGTTGCGCAAATGTTTGAGGTATATGGTTTCTGTGGTGCATCTGTGGTACAAGGCAACTACTGATCACTGCATTAACGTATCCAAACATCCACTCAGGCAATTAAAACACAAGTCTTGATCGGTCCCAATCAGGATCTGTTATATGTCTTAAACGTTCTTGGCAGTTGCAGACGTTCACACTAATATGGCACGTCATTTGCATACTTCATTCAAGCTTTTCATCCATTCGCAAATCAGGTCTCGGCCTTCATGGAAGGCAAACATGTAAACTATCACTACTGGTTCACTATAGGCTACATCTAAAATACTGCAGGAGTTCAGTAGTTGGATGCCAGGTGCTTATGACTTTGTATTGAGGAGGTTGTGTCCCCCTCAATGTTTACGGTAGTTTTAAGGATAAAAGGACATACTGTAAAGCCAAAATGCACTGCGAGTTAATTCATTTAGTGATCCAACTACCTACAAACCTTGCACTTCCCTGCCCTTCAAGCAGTAAAGGCCCGTTCACACCAAGAATGAGAACTATATTAGCATCCACACCAAAGCACAATAATGTTATGTTTATTACAAGCATGCACTGTGGTTTTGTGCTTGAGCTCTTTAAAGTGGAATAGATTCTGATTGGCTGTCAATATTTTTAAATAATTTATCTGGTGAAAAAAAGGCAGCCTCTATGCCTTCATTGATGTCGTTATTCTCACAGAATTTGAATGATTATTTACCGTAAGTTTTAAGGCGCGTTCACACCAAGAACTATGAAAAGTTCTCCCACTTTATATTTTAAGTGGGATTCTGGTGCTTTTATCATTCTGGGGTGCGTTTCCCAAAAGCAACTATGGTCGCAAGTTCCGTTGTTACCAACAGATTTCAATGGAACGAACCACCATAGTTAGCGAACGATGCTTTTGGGAAACGCGCCCCTGATTGGCTGTCAATGTTTTTATCGTTCATCAGCTGAAAAAGTCCTGACAGTGATTTGAATCATATTGTTCAAGTCACTATCATAGTTGTGATGTGGACTTTGCCATTCACTTGATTATTTAGAATTAGATTATTAAAACTTTATAGTTGTTTTTACGTTATTTGTGTGAATGGGCGTTTATCGTTAGTTACGTTATTTGTGTGAACAGACCTTGATAGTTATCTTTATAACATATGTCCTTTTTGTGAACAAGCCTTCATAGTTCTCATTATAGTTATCGTTCTTTGTGTAAACAAACCTTTATTGTTATCGTTACAGTTATTGTTCTTTGTGTGAACGGACCAATATAGTTAACTTTATAGCCATCTTCAATTTCTTATGAATGAGCCTTTACGGTTAATTATCGTCCATTTTTTGTGAACACACCTTTATAGTTATTCTAATAGTTATCGTTTTTTATGTGAATGTACCTTTATATTTATCAAGATAGTTATCATCCTTTTTGCGATGACCCTTTATAGATGTCATCCATTTTGCGAACGAGCCTTTATTGTTATCATTATAGTTTTTGGTGTGAACAGACCTTTATAGTTATTGTCATAAATATCATCCTTTTTTGCGAACAAATCTTTTTCATTATCGTTATCGCCCTTTATTTACACACAAGCTTTGATAGTTATTGTTATTATATAGTTATTATCGTTTGTGTGAACATACCTTTATAGTTATCGACTTTTTTTATTAATGAGTCTTCATAGTTATAGTAATAGTTATCATTATTTATGTGAATGTAACTTAATAGTTAACGTTTTAGTTATCCTTTTTGCGAGTACCCTTTATAGTTGTCCTCATTTTTGCGAACAAGCCTTTGTTGTTATCGTTATAGTTATTGGTGTGAACAGACCTTTAGTTATTGTTATAATTATCGTCCTTTTTGCGAACAAACCTTTATAGTCATCATTAAAGTTATTGTCCTTTTTTGCCAATGAGTCTTGATAGTTATCTTTATTATCCTTTGTGTGAATGTACCTTTATAGTTATCGCTATAGTTATTGTCCTTTTTGTGAACTAGCTTTTATAGTTATCATTATCATCCTTTTTGCAAATGAGACTTTATAGTTATCATTACAGTTATCGTTCTTGTTGTGAACGGGCCTAAAGACACCAAAGTGCAGAGGAAACTATATTCTTGTCTCTTATTTAGGAAAACAAGACATTTAAAACCTTTGAGAGTCAATATACGGTATATAGTTGAGTGACTACAATAAAACTTCACATCAAGAACGGACCAAACGAGTTACAGTAATGTACAACTCTGTACAGCATAATATCATACACATAATAACAGAACGGCACTTTAGAGCAACAGTGAACAAATGTTCTGTGCTAGTGAGGCAGCTTGAACGTGATGGCGACGGCCCTGTATTCCTGGCCGGGATACGGTTTCGACAGTCACCATAGCAGCCTGGTCTTTAAGTAGATACATACGTGAGCTAGCAGTGGGCACTTGGTCATTGGTATTATTTTCGAACACACATGGGACATTTTGTATGGCGCACTCACTGACATGAGGTAAAGAATCAGACAATTGTGCACATAGGGCCAGATTTACTATCAGCTTGCGCCAGCGCAAACCCTCATTTGGCGTTAATAATAATAATAATGGCATTAAAAAACTACTGTCAGGATTTACTAAAGACACGCAGTGTGAAATTAGCACTGAAAAAGCGTGGACAGAGTTATTTTTGCGACTCAGCTAATTTATGCATTTGTAGGCGTTTCCCATTCGATCAGTAAATTTATGGGAGGAGAGTATTTAAATGAATCGCGCAACGCGATTTACTAAGATTTGCACTTGTCAATTCACTGGTATTTGTGGCATTATTTAATGCCCCCAAAAAACATGCTTTAAAGCAGGCGGTAATTTGCGCTACTTTATGGAAAAGCGATGTTGCGTCTAATTAATAATTTAATAATTATAATAATTTATGCATTTTTACCAGCATGCGTGTTCCCTGGGAATTGAACCCACAACCTTTTGCGCTGCTAACGCAATGCTTTACCACTGAGCCACAGGAACATCTATGTATTAACAGGAGCGTCTGTGTTCTTTAATGTGCACCTTGTCAGTAAATCACCCGCAGATTTTTCCCCTCCCATCGGTGCTTTTATGGAATTGCGCTTTAACGCTAATTTGCCCTGTTTAGTAAATCTGGCCCATAGTCCCTTGAAACCAAAGACAAGTGTTCTGGTTTTATGGGACGGTGGTTTCTGAGGGAAACCTCTTATGTGATGCTGCTTTCATCAACGTTACCCTCACAGACTTCTTCCAAACACCCGCTACGATTGCCACCAATGCCCAAAACTCTAGATCCAAGGCCATGCGGCCCACTTTGAGAACTGATTCCAAGAAGAGGCCCAGAAGCGGCCATGTTGAGACAAGAAACGCTGTTGCTGCTCATGGAATGTTGAGACAAAACGGGGATCCCGCTTCTGGCACCAACGCTACCTTGATTGGTCTCGTTGGCTGACGCGAGCTTCATGTGATGCGGTGGAGAAATGACCGACCTTTCGGATCCGGCTCTTCCTTCGGCTCTGCTGCGCCTCTCGCAATGCGAGCGATGCCTCATGAAGCTGTCGCGCCACATGAACTTCTTCCCGCAGTCGTGGCAGTCGTAGGGTTTCAGACCGGTGTGGGTCTTCATGTGCTCGGTGAGGTGATGCTTCATCTTGAACTTCTTGGCACAGACGGGGCAGTGGAAGGGCCGCAGGTCCAGGTGCATGTTGATGTGCCGGTCCCTCATGCTCTTGTGCGTGAACGTTTTCCCGCAGTGACACATGAAGACCTTGCCTGAATTTCCAGCCGCGCCGCCGTCTAATCCTTCCATCCCGCTCCCCAAAGCTCCTTGGCTGGGTAAGTGGACCGCTCCGTGTTCGAGGCTACCTTTTAGAGACACCCCTGACATGCCTCCTGCAAGCCCTAATGGAGATGTAGACTCCAGAGCGGCTTGATTGTACAGGAGAATCTGGTTTCCCTGCATATCCAGAGGGAAGAGCTGAGCTCTGGCGGCCGTCGACTGAACCGAACCGAGCCGGGTGGACACGGTCCTGCTGGAGCACTGACCGGGATTCTCAGCAGGGTGTTGAGAGGACGTCTGGTCGATCAAACCCCTCTCAAACTTGAGGTAGTCTTCTGAGGACTGGCAATAGTCAGCCTAGAGGAAAAAAGACATTTGAGTAATTGAGGATGGTAAGTTGTTGTTGTTGGTGCACCTCACAAGTATGAATGTTTTTTTTATGTTGTAATTTATTTTTGTCCACTTCGTCCTATTATCTTTGCATCTCTTATTCTAATCCAGTTTTATCTATGGGTATAATACCGTCTCAATCAGAGATTTGCTGAAATTATCTGTCAGTTCAAAAAAAATTTTGTAAATTTTTTGACAATATTTGATATACAAAAATATTTAGACACTTATGCCGCAATTAAAAAGGCATTTAAAAATGACAAATAATCCATGTGATTGGATTATATATCAAAACAATAAGTGGCACTTATTAAAAAATAATAATAAATATATATATATATATATATATGGTACACACTTTGAATCAGAACACTTCAAAAATAAGGTTTTGAAATGATATGTTTTCGAAATATTTGGTTTCAAAATATGAAGCAGTATATATTTAAAATGAGACAAAAAGTCCTGTGGACTTTCTGGTTGTCAAACTACACTGGTGGTTATTCTGCTTGGACACATGTGAGAACATATGATGAACTGACTTTCATGCATTCATTAAAAATGACCTTGAGACCAATTGGTTAAAAATGAATGTAAAAAGTGGCTTACAAAAATGAAGTTAGTTCTGAGAAAAGCTCTACAATCTTTTGTTTGCAGATGCTACTTGGTTTGATATTTTGTATCTAATGCAATTACATTTTTTGACATTTTTATTGTGTGACAACAAGCATCCAAAATTGTTTTATAGCTGGGTGAAAAGCCCAAAAAAACTCTATATATTTCTTTATATATATTCAAATGAGGGTGATTTTTCTGTTAGGAAACCCAAGACAAGGATATCATTCACTCAAAAAATCCTATTCTTAAGTAACTTTTCAGTTAAAATATCTAATAATCATTGACACACAAAAAATATATACTTAAGAAGCCACACTGCATAAGATATTAAGACTTTTTTTTTTTTTTTTAGAGTATTAGAGTATATTCAATGCAAGAGTATTTGGCCTTACTGCACAGGCAGACTTTTTCACTTGTTTTAAGTCTAAACGAGGTCAAAACAAGTGAAGAAATCTACCAGTGCAGTTATATTTTAACTAGTCATTTTTGCAACTTAATTGGACAAATAAAAAGCATATTAAAATAATTGACATTTAAAATAATTCTTTATTTTATATCACAGACAAAATGGTCTCCAATATATTAATAATATATCATCCAGCCCTAAAGAATTAAAGTTAAAGGGGTGGTTCATTGCGATTTCACTTTTTTAACGTTAGTGTGTAATGTTGCTGTTTGAGCATAATCAATATCTGCAAAGTTACGAAGCGGAAAGATCAATGCAAATGGAGATATCGTCTTTTAAAATTCTGGCAGTTTAATGCATATAAAAACGGCTGGTAGGGACTACAACGAGTTACTTCCCGGGTTCGTGACATCACAAACCCAGATAAACCCCGCCCCCAGGAAAAGGCAGCAAAGGGGGCGAGGCCATGCTGCACTGCTTTAGAGAAGAGGAAGAGAAAACTAGAGGCGCACGTAAAAATCTATTCATATATGAATTGCGATTCTGTCTTCTAACGATTCTAATGGATTCACAAGTTTCAAAATCAATGTTCTAAAGCAGCGGTTCTCAATACTGTTCCTCGCGTTCCCCTGCCCTGCATCTCTCTCTCATTCAGCTCAGCTCCAACAATGAACTGTTTCAATTATACACTTATTTTCACATAGCTATGAGAAGCGTTAAACATGGACGCGCGTGCAGTTGCCATACTGTATTAAAGCTTTAATCAGGATAAAACCGTATATTAAAAGCCAACATAAGCAGTAGCATTTACAAATAACAGCATATCTAAAAGTATGACACAACAACAAACATAGGCCTACCATTAAAAGCCGTGCTTGCACAGGTTCTGCACGATCCTCTTCACTAATATCCTCTGCTTCTCAATCAGGCTCAAACTGATAAGCGATATTAACTATGGCGGGACATTTAGCGCTAGAGGCGGTTTAGCCAATCACAACACACTGGGCTAGCTAACCAATCAGAGCCCATCGCCTATTTCTGAGGGAGGGGCTTCATAAAAGAAGGAAATGATCAGCCCGTTTCTCAGAGAAGGGACAGAGAGGTGTGGAATAAAGGTAAATTATGTGAAAAATAATGCGTTTTTAAAAAAACGAAGCGTTAACACATGTTAGACTGCACCCTATAAACACAATCAATCATAAAAAAAACCCAGTGAACCACCCCTTTAATTTAATTAAAAACTACTGACCTGTGCCTCCATTTCAGCTTCTTCTCTGAGTCCAGAGAGGGTCCTAACGTTCGATATGTTAAATGTCCTGTCCCTCTGTCTGATCATCTCCATCTCTCGTTCCTCTTCATCGTCTTCTCCCTCCTCTCCTCCTGACACCACGATCAGGTCGTCGTCTCTCGAGTGTTCCGTCTTCACCACCACCCACTGTTTTCTGGGCATGATGCTCGGCTGACTGTACGACGGCCGTTTCTGGGGTGGAGAAGAGTCTCCATCTTGATACGAAGACACTCCAAAACTGTCGCTCACTCCAACCTCTTGATCGGAGACGGAGGTCACGACCTTTCGCTTGCCTCCCCGATCTCTTTTCCTGGGATACAAGAGCTCGTCGTCATCTTCTTCGATCATGAAGCCTTCCTCTCCACCGGAGGGCATGCAGTAGGTCGGGGTGGAGTGAGCAGCACTCTCTCCCACTGCTCCGGTGGTCACCATCGTCCCGCCGAAGTGTGTGTCTCTAGGACTGAAGTAATTGGTGCTGCTCGGAGACTGGCTCTCGCTGAAGGATGGGCGGCTGGGAGGTTGAGGAGTCGAAGGTGCGTCTCCTCCGTCCGCTTGGGCGATCTTGTTGGCGCTGCCGCTTTGCCCTGCGCTCTCCTTGTCTCCGGATCCCTGAGGTCCACTGGAACCTCCCCTGCCCTCTTTGAGAAGCTCAGTGCATTTGTCCACAATGTGCCACATTTGAAGCACACTGCCAACAGTGAGGTAGTTAACAATGTCTTCGCGAAGCATTCGCAGCTGGCCGGTGTACGCACAACTGAGAACGCTCTCAAAGGCCAGGGGGTCCAAGACGGCTGGGATGGAGACGGTGGACATGTTCTTCAGCAGCACCTGGAACACAGAAACAAAGACTGTGATGTGGCTAATAAACACTGCACAGATGAATCTGATAGAAACTGTTATGCATTACTTAATACAGATTGTGAAAAAAAAAAATTGTCTGTGAAATGCTACAGAACCTGAAAATGTATGGCTTTATTTCTTTCATATATAGTCTATGCAACGTGTTCAAAGATATTTTTTGCATTTAGGCTTTTCTCAGTAAATACTTACATTTGCAATTAGTTGTATTAAATGATCAGAATATCATGTAATGAATTTGACTTAAATACTAGCTGCTTATATATTTCATTACACATATTTATTGTTTTATTTCTTCCATATATAGTCCATGCAACACACCTGCTTGTGTTCAAAGATAATTTGAATTATCTTGATTTTTAGGCTTTTCTCAGTAAATACTCACATATGCAATTAATTTTATTAATTAATCAGAATATCAGTCAGAATTCAGTCAATCTGATTGAGTCTCTTTCAGTGTTTGTCAACAACTAAAGTGAGAATTTCCAAATAGGATATCACTTGTCAGACCTAGCAACAGTAAGCAAGGGGATGAGTCCATGTAGATTCAGAGTGATCTTCAATACATGTTTCAAGAGATCTTTTACACCAGTGGTGCCCAACCGTTACTGGAGATCTACCTTCCTGAAGAGTTCAGTTCCAACCCTGCTTCAGCACACCTGCCCGTAATTATCAAGTGCTCCTGAAGATCTTAATTAGCTGGTTAAGCCGTGTTTGATCAGGGTTGGAGCTGAACTTTGTAGGAAGGTAGATCTCCAGGAAGAGGGTTGGGCACCACTGCTTTACACCATCTAGGCCTCAAGGTAAATATGTACCTGGTCGTGGAAGTAAGGTGACGATGCAGCCAGCACACACCGATGGGCTTTGAACACCTGGCCCTGAACGTGAATGGAGAGGTCGCAGAGATGGCCTTCTTCACGCTGCCGATTCAGGCTGTCCAGCACTGAGGCCTGCACACTGGGGAAGCACACCTGCACCGCTGAACCCACGGAGTCACCATAGCCTTGGTCCGCCGTGGCCGACTGCATTCCTGCAAGGGAAGAGCATCATGAAATAACTCATTTCAATGCAAACTTAATGTTTGTCCCAATTTGCATGCTTATGCATTATTCTTATGCACTATTATGCACCGTTTTAGCATAAATAATGTGATTGGTGTGTTCCCACTGAAAATTCCAAAAAGAAAACATTCACTTCAAATGCCTGGATGATGCACTTAACTGTAATTAACTGTAAAAACTAAGTGTATATAATTGTTACACTAGACAGTTCAGTACATAGCACACAGAATATATACGTACGCTGCATCCAAAATCAAATGCTTCCCAACAATTCAAAAAATAGTACGCAAAAAGAGTAGCATTTCTGAATTCATAGTATTCGAAAAACAGTAGGCGAAAACTACCCGAATAACCTACTACTTGTGTGCATTTGAAGGACACTTTACAATCCCATGAGGCCACAGGAGAGGATTATGAATGACAGTGAAGCGATGCAACTAACACTGCGAGGTCACATGATAGTAACAAGATGATACACACTACCCACATTCATAATAAATAAACACCATTTTTAACGGCCGTGAAGCAAGTTCAAATTCAAATGTAGTAGGCCTACTCCGACCAAGTACACAGATAGTGTACCAATAGTGTATAGTGCATTATTTGGGACAACTTCACATTACACAGGCTACTTACACACAGCAACAGATTACGGTTGTCAGTCCTGTATTAAATGGCTGAATATGCTTACATTCACACGCAGTTCAGTTATAAACCAGAGTGACAACAGAATTAAATAATCAAACTGACTCCACACCTAATTTTGAGAGTGAGAGCTCATTTGCATAAAATGAAATTTACTTTCAAAATGAATGAGTCACTTTCACATGAAAAAAAAATGCTGTTTATATAAAGATATGCTATACATTTAATAAATGTTACATAAACATATTTTAGATATATAAGTACGTCAACAAACAGCTGCTAAAAATAGGTGTTTTGATTTTCCTCATAACATACTACAACATTAATTTAGATCAAATATTCTTTTATTTCTCTTTGAACCCAGCAAATGCTATTGCAGGTCCAAAGAACAAGGGGCATTGACCAGACAATGCTGTTTATATAAAGATATGCTATACATTTAATAAATGTTACATAAACATATTTTAGATATATAAGTACGTCAAAAAACAGCTGCTAAAAATAGGTGTTTTGATTTTCCTCATAACATACTACAACATTAATTTAGATCAAATATTCTTTTATTTCTCTTTGAACCCAGCAAATGCTATTGCAGGTCCAAAGAACAAGGGGCATTGACCAGACACTGCATGATCACTTTATTCACATTCGGTTGTCTATTAATGACATATCATGAATATAGTTTCCTCAGACCCTGTTATAATGACCACAGTAAAGATAGTTTGCGGTTTGATATTCAGATTTCTTTTGGCTATAAATACGCAGTGCGCTGTCATAGACATGCAGATAACACAGAATATCATTCTCCATGATTTGTGAATTCAGGTGACGCTGTCCTTTGGGCCGAAATCAGGTTTTTTTTAATATAGCGACTCTTAATTTTATAAAGCCTATATCTCCAAAAGTTGTCCACTTCGAGGAATGAACCCGGTGTCTTCTTCACCAGCTTGATCTGTGAATTGTTTCACAGCAAAGCTCTTGTCCGTAAACCCCTCGGCTAGTAAGGAATGTGAAAGAAAGGCGTTCTTCATGTTTAACGTCTTGCTGTCCTTTGGGCCGAAATCAGGTTTTTTTTAATGTAGCGACTCTTAATTTTATAAAGCCTATATCTCCAAAAGTTGTCCACTTCGAGGAATGAACCCGGTGTCTTCTTCACCAGCTTGATCTGTGAATTGTTTCACAGCAAAGCTCTTGTCCGTAAACCCCTCGGCTAGTAAGGAATGTGAAAGAAAGGCGTTCTTCATGTTTAACGTCTATTATCAATAAACATGCAGACTGCTGGAATAAAAAAACATTGTTTTAAGTCAAACTCAAATTGTGGAAACTTTCACAATCGCATTTTATCGCGTGGCAGTGTTTCTCTTTGCTCTGCCCCGTTTTTTGTATAATAATGTAATACGGTGCTGTTCCAGTGAATAACGGTTTCCAATTCATTAGGTAAATGAGCTTAAACACACACACACACACACACACACACACACTTGTATACTTTGTTTGACAATTAAGTTTTGGTTGTTGTACCTTTCCTACTTGCCTTCAATATTCTGATTTGCGAAAGTTTTTAGCCTTTGTCAGTTAACCCTTTCGTGATCTCTTAACTTAACTATTCTGATCTAAAAAAATAATCACAGTGCAGTGTTGGTCAGTTAACCCTTCCCTGAGTCATGCACATCACTATTCTGATCTATGAAAACTTCCACAGTTCACTACGGGTCAGTTGACCCTTCCCTGATTCATTTACATCACTATTCTGATCTATGAAAACTTCCACAGTTCACTACGGGTCAGTTGACCCTTCCCTGATTCATTTACATCACTATTCTGATCTATGAAAACTTCCACAGTTCACTACGGGTCAGTTGACCCTTCCCTGATTCATTTACATCACTATTCTGATCTATGAAAACTTCCACAGTTCACTACGGGTCAGTTGACCCTTCCCTGATTCATTTACATCACTATTCTGATCTATGAAAACTTCCACAGTTCACTACGGGTCAGTTGACCCTTCCCTGATTCATTTACATCACTATTCTGATCTATGAAAACTTTCAGAGTGCAGTTATGGTCAGATAACGGTTCCCCGAGTCAGTAACAACACTATTCTGATCTGTGAATACTTTCAGTTTCACAGAATAGTTAAGTTAAAACTTTCGCAAATCAGAATATTGAAGCCAAGTACTCAAGGAAAGGTACAACCAAAACTTTATTGTCAGACAAAGTGTAGCCTACAAGTCTATGTGTATAAGCTCATTTACCTAATGAATTGGAAAACACTGCCACGCGATAAAATGCGATTGTGAAAGTTTTCACAAATCAAACTCAACCTAAAACAATGTTTTTGTATTCCAGCAGTCTGCGTGTTTATTGGTAATAGACGTTAAACATGTTGTTAAACAAAACCTTACTAGCGGACAAGAGCTTTGCTGTGAAACAATTCACAGATCAAGCTGGTGAAGATGACACCGGGTTCATTCCTCGAAGTGGACAACTTTGAGATATAGGCTTTATAAAATTAAGAGTCGCTACATTAAAAAAAACCTGATTTTGGCCCAAAGGACAGCGTCACCGGAATTCACAAATCATGGAGAATGATATTCTGTGTTATCTGCATGTCTATGACAGCGCACTGCGTATTTATAGCCAAAAGAAATCTGAATATCAAACCGCAAACTATCTTTACTGCCTCGGCGTGAATATTTCGCCATCCATTAAAGTTGCATTGGTGTCTGGTCAACAAACAGCCAGTGTTTTCCGCAAGCTCGCTGTCAGCGTTTATTAAAAATAATATTCGCCACGTATAAACTCTCAGAGCCTCGTTCAATAGAGTTCGCGTCAGAAATCAGGGGTTTATTTACCAGCCAGCCGCTGCGAAACCAATCCGTGTGGCCTCAAGCACGGAAGCGGATCGTCTCATAAATCACTCTTTTTACCAAGCAAGATCTCTTACCGATATAAATATGTCCGTCAGGCACTCAAAAGAGGGGTTTTCATTATGACAGATCGACGTTTCCCACCGGTCGGGGATACCGAGAGTAATGGTGGACTGACATCGGGTTTGCCTTTAAGAGATCCCAGACAGCTGCTCTAGACTCGGCCGACTAAAAAGGGAAGCAAACACTGAGGCATGGGAAGCAAACTATTCTCTACTGTCATGGCAACAAGTGCTGTTTAGAGTATTAGAAACCATAGAAATTATAACCATCTTATTAAAATTGTAACCATTGTTCCAGCCTTCAACAACAACCAAGCAGTTAATAAGGCAGCAGCTATGTAAATGTGAGTTATAGACAGTGTTGAAGATTAGGAGACTTTCATAAAATAAATACACTGATGTGATCGCATGAGATCACTCACCTTGCTGGCGAAGCGCAGAGAATTCAGCGACTCACTGAAGCTCTCTTCCTCAGGTGCAATATTCACAAACATCAAACTGTACAGAGGAAAAGAAATGAGTCACGTTCCTTAAAAACACAGTAATTGTATTCTGCAAACCCCTAAAAGAAAATACCATCTCAGGCTTTAAAACAAACATGCACTTGAGCATTACACGTACGTTTTGCTGTTGCCTCCGAGGCAGTTCTGGAGGAGGTATGTGAGCTTTGAGTTACGGTAGGGAATAAAGCTCTCCTGTAGATGTTCAGAAAGAAAATGAATGTGAGAAATTATAGCACAGCAAGTCATATAACTGAAGACAACATTTATAGCTCACTACTTAATGCATAATGTACCAAGAAGTCTAGAAGACTATCATTTTGCTTTTTAAAAAAAAATAAAGTATGATATTGAGAAACCAATAACTCAGAATTGGTTTCATACAGTTAGCTAAAAACATACCTTGCTGGCCAAAGCGGCGATCACAATTCCCAGGTTGGTGAGCGATGAGTTGATGGCGGTCATCTCCTTGAATCGCTCTCCTTGAGACTGACTCTTCTGCACTCTCTCACTACCGGCCAAATCCACCAGACACAGCACGGCTGAAACACAATCAATACACAATTAAAGTCAGGCAGCAATCTCAATTATAACTCAACTATATAATATAATTATAACCTAACTCAACATGAAGACTAGGGCTGTCAAAATGACTGAAAAACTAAATTTTAAATTTGCACTTAAATATGATCAATATTCGAATTATATTCAAACTTAAAAAGGCATAATTTCAGTTAGAGGGAAAAAAGCTTTTGGCTTCTCTCCTGAGGCCACAAGAGGGCGCATTCAGCAAAATATTAATGCAGTTTATTAAATAAATACAATAACATGACTATCTGTGAAAAAGTGCATAACGTTTATAAACCAAATATAATTAAGTTGCTTAATTATAAACAAAACCGTTTCATGTATGCATAATTTAATACAAAGGGACGAAAGCCCTTGCATTAGAATGTGGATTTTTATTTTAAATTCAACGAATATTCGAAATTAATTTTTTTATTTGACAGCCCTAATTAAGACTACTCTTAATTGGACCTCCATTCCCCTTTATGAAGTGCAGTTTATCTATTAAATCAAGGAATTCTGTGATTCTTACACTTGCACTTGGTGTCTCGATCAGAGTTCTGCCCCTCTATGTCTAGCTGGAACACAGAGTGAGAACGTGAAGAGTGATCGTTTATGCCTGTGCGGGCTGTGGACCGGTTCTGGTTTGCCAGCATGATCAAGTTGTGCACCTGAGAAAATAGGAAAGAAACAGACGCATTAATAAACTGCACACTCATGTATGAACAAAATCAAATACAACACGGATTAGAGATGCACCAATTGCAATTTTCTTGGCCGATTCCGATTTTTTTGGAAGTGCGACTTGCCGATACAGATTTTTGCCAATTACGATTTTATTATTATGAACTATAATTAACAGCATATACAAACAAAAATCTATACCAATTTCAACGCAAAAATGATTTATATAAGAAATTATTAAACATTACAATTCCCCCAATCTGCACTAAGTTACAGATTTTCACTTAAACAACTTTCAAAATAAAGTCTGACTGGAAAGAGGAAGAAATAATAAATTAAATGAGTTGCTGTATGTAACAAAACAAATGCTTACTTTGTGATAACTTCTTATCAATACAACATAATTCAGAAGGGGGGAACGAAGCACAAGAGAATTAATTGAGTGACTAACCCAGGGGTAGGCAGCAGTCCAGCAGAGTTCAGCTTCAACCCTGAAAAAAAAAAAAAAAACACCTCACCTGCCTATAGCCTTAGTAATCCTGAAGACATTGATTAGCTTGTTCAGGTGTGTTTGATTAGGGTTGGAGCTGAACTCTGCAGGACTGCGGCTCTCTAGGACCGAACTCGCCTACCCCTGACTAACCAATGCAACCCAAGAAACAAGAATTAAACCAATAAACAAAACGACTGACAAAACTTATTGAGGGAAAATAAAGCTCTCCAAGCTAACGGGGCAATGAGTTCACACAGTATATTCAAAAGATGTATTTGTCACATCAACTCTTATAACTGTCTGCAAACCAAAGCTCTTTTGTAGCACACTTCTCATGACAAACATCTGACTGATCAGACAGTTTACCTGTGATTACGGAGTGCTTGATTTGATGCAGACTTGACAACGTGTCAGTACTGCACCTGATCGTGTCTGAGTGATCATGGAAGGTAAAATAATGATCACAACTATTACATCATTTTAATTGTGCATCCCAAGCCAGTAATAAAAAAAATAAATAAAAAACAGCCCAAAGTAGCGCATATTTATCATAAACACAGCTCAAATGCCTCCTCCTAGTGTGGCCCAAAACATTTAGCACAGTTTTATTACAGGTAGAATGCAAAATTTTCAGTACAAGCATTTCAACCAAATGTAATTTATGCAATATTTCAAACTTTTAACCCACTGGGGAAAATCATCCAATGGCAACAGTTTAAAAGCAGTCCAATTTCGTGGAAAAACAACAACAACCACCCTGCATTCAACAGGAGTTGCAGAAGTCAGATTTGACTGATCATGGGTCAAAAGTAAGGAGAGATAACTGACAAGATGTTGGAGGATTTGCTCTTCAACTGATCCTGAGCTCATTGACAAATATCTTATATCGTAGGATGTGCTCCATTTACACAGTGCGTGTGCGATCGCGAAGTCGAAAGTGAACTGCGACTGCTCATTCAAATGCGATTTAAATACCCCACATATATAGCGGCTCCCTTAAGCGTGAAAATTATATACAATTAGAATGTTTGCAGGAGCGGATACAGAAATCGCGGGAGCGGATGGGAGCATGCGGTAGTGGTCAGAAGTTCAGCGAGAGCGGGATCAACAAACCCGGTGCTATCACGCAGCGATGCAGTCAGTCAGTGAGCGCCATAACAGATGAAGTCAAATCTTGCAGGATTCCATAAACACAGAACCCCACTATTCAGACAAATATACATAATGAAAAGATGATACAAAATTTAATACCTTGGAAAATGGCATTTAAGACTTTTTAAGGGCCTTAATTTTCTCTAAATTGATTTATCAACTTAATACTTTTTAAGACACCGCGGACACCCTGATTTGCAGAGTTTGATGAAGCTGAGGTGCCATAAATGCATTTACACTGCAAATTTTTAAATGCATACATTTTATAAGATTAGTTTTACATATTTTTAACAAACAAATAAATGTTGAAAAAATGCAATACTTTTAAATATGACTAAACCACCAGTAGGTGGTGGCAAATGTCTGTTTTAATGAGCGAGTCATTTATTCATTCATTCAACCGATTCATTCAGAAACTAGGCACAGCGGTGCAGTCAGTCAGTGAGCACCATAACAGATGAAGTCAAATCTTGCAGGATTCCATAAACACAGAACCCCACTATTCAGACAAATATACATAATGAAAAGATGATACAAAATTTAATACCTTGGAAAATGGCATTTAAGACTTTTTAAGGGCCTTAATTTTCTCTAAATTGATTTATCAACTTAATACTTTTTAAGACACCGCGGACACCCTGATTTGCAGAGTTTGATGAAGCTGAGGTGCCATAAATGCATTTACACTGCAAATTTTTAAATGCATACATTTTATAAGATTAGTTTTACATATTTTTAACAAACAAATAAATGTTGAAAAAATGCAATACTTTTAAATATGACTAAACCACCAGTAGGTGGTGGCAAATGTCTGTTTTAATGAGCGAGTCATTTATTCATTCATTCAACCGATTCATTCAGAAACTAGGCAAGTGACTGTCCTTATGAATGAGCCACTGAATCATTGACTCACTCCATTCGTTCAAAAACGTGGATTCATTCAGTAACAAAACATCACTGTGTGTTGCTCAGAGACAACAGTTCTGCTGTGGCTTTGATCGGAACTATTTTTGGAAGTCACTTAATTTTAATTTGTTTATTGAAATACTATTGTATAAAATCGGTCAACATATCAAAAGTATTGATACTGATATTCGGGGAAACATCATGGCCGTATAATGATGCTTACCTAAATCTAAAAAATTTTTCTACCGCAGTATGCATCTATACATTTCTGTGAGTTACTTTGCGTGTGCTGTCTCTCACACACACACTCACTCAGGCTGTGCAAGCCTCATCTGGCATGATATAAATACATTATCAGTCGCTGTTTACACTGAATGCAATTAAAATTAGAATCATTCTCATGTGAAACAACATGTTTACACGCGACTGAGTGTGTGCGTGGCTGTGACGTCATTGCCGGTGCCGCTGGCAATAAAAGAATCGGCTCGTGATACTGACCGGGCCGGTCACCGATCCAGGACGGTCATGCGAAAAATCGACCGATTCCAATCACTGGCCGGTCAATCGGTGCATCTCTAACACAGATTACTGTGATTTTCAAGTGGTGTCATCTTAATATCACTGCGATAATGTGATATATCAGGGGTGGCGAACGTCGGTCCTGGAGAGCCGCAGCCCTGCAGAGTTTTGCTTCAACCCTAATCACACACACCTGAACAAGCTAATCAAGGTCTGAAGGGTTACTAGGAAGCTACAGGCAGGGGAGTTTTTATTAGGGTTGGAGCTGAGCTCTGTAGCACTGCGGCTCTCCAGGACCGGAGTTCGCCACCCCTGTGATATATAAATGAGTAGTACCTCA